CAGGAATTAGCCAGCGATGAAACAAGTGGTGCCTGAAGTCTCACCCCCAGGGACAACCCCTGTCCTATCAGCTGCTCTGCCCCAGGAGCTGGGCAAATGGGGCAGGCACCAATCAGAGTGGCTCAGGAAGCAGGAAGAGCTCCCTTGGGGTCCAACCCTGCTGCCCTGCTCCCTTGGGGTCCAGCCCCCCACCCCAAGAGAGGCAGGTACCCAGGCACAAGGAACAGGGCAAGGGGATGTCACAGGAGCGGGGCACCCACTATGGCTGGCCTGGAGGTGGGAGGTGACAGGCAAGGGACACAGCGCATGCAGGCGACAGCTCCTGCAGGGCTCAGAGCGACGTGCAGGAGGGGCAGGAAGGCCAATGCCAGCCCCCACCCTTGTCCCGCATACAGGGATTAGCTCCTGGGACCCAGCAGAGACAATGCCTGAGGGGAAGCGCCACACCTCACCTGGTCGTTCTCGTCGCTGAAGCTGTTGCCGTACATGAAGCAGCCACGCTTGGAGGCGTGGCCGTGCAGGTCCACGTAGTAGGCCAGCCCGCTCTCCTGGGGCTGGATGGGGCGCGGGGCCGGCGCTGGCTGTGGGGTGGCCCGTTCACAGCGCTCCCCGAGCAGGATCCAGAAAGCTCGGTCATTGCTTCCCAGCTCGGGGGTGGGCACTGCCTGCAGCGCGGGGTCCTGAGAGGGCGTCGGGAGGCTGCTGGTGGAGGCCCGGCTGCTGGGCTGGTTGCGCAGGTTGTTGGCTTTCTCCAGTTCGGAGAGGGGCCCCTCCAGGGACAGGGTGCAGTGATGGACGGAGCGGTTGGCAGACCTGGCACCCAGTGTGTTGGTGGCCAGGGGGGATCCATGCGCCCGCCAGTCGGGGAAGCCTGGCGGGACACAGTTGTGCACGTGGTGGTACAGCAGGATGGCCTTGGCCCCGTACACGGCAGGGTGCAGCTCTGCGTCGGGGCTGAGGTACTGGCGGTTCAGGTTCACACCCTGTGAGTCCGTGCTGGGGAGGGAGAATGGAGAGGTGTGAGGTACCCCAGGACTGCTACATGTGCCAGGCAGCCAACATGGCCCATGGGTCCAGGGCAGGCAGCTCATGGGCGAACGTGTTGCACCCCCCCATGGGGCCCAGCGAGAGAACAGCCCTAGCACCACTGCTGCTCCAGGGGACTCGTCCCAGAGCCTCCCCAGCCACTGCACAGTTGCAAGCCCTGGGCTCACCCCCACTGCAGGGACTGGCCCCCAGAACACTTTGGCACAGCACCAACTGCCCTTGTCCTGCTGATCCAGGCCTGGGCGCCAGGACTGCCTGGAGCTCAGCTGGGGCTTCCCTTGACCTTGACAGCCCAGCACTGGGATGCAGTCGCTGTCAGCAGAGACATTTGGGTTCTCAGGGGCCAGGAGGGATCTGCCCTGGGCTGGGCCCTCAGCAGAGCCTAGCACTACAGCGGGACTGCCAGGCGGTGCCAAGTGACCATGCCCCTCGCTGTTGGACCGGCCATCCCCAGGCAGCACAGTGCAAGGCCTGGGCCCAGCCACCAGCGGATACTCACCGGTAATGGCCGCGTGCCACGCCGTCGGGGTTCAGCATGGGGATGAGCTTGAAGACGAACATCCGCCGCAGCAGCTGAGCACGAGGGTCATCCTCCCGCAGGACGAAGGCCAGGAACCCGTTGAAGACAAAGCTGGAAGGCGTCTCCCCAGGGTGCACCCTACTGCTCAGGAAGAACACCTGGGGGTGGGGAGGGGGGGTCAGGGATGCCAGCGGCTCCCCACTTCTCCCCAGGTATGGCCCAGCTGCCCTGGCAGGGGTGGAGGGGTGGGGTGTCGGGGGACAGGACAGGGCATGAGACTGAGACCATGCATGCAGCACCAAGCCTGGGCACACCATGCTCTCCAAGACCAGCCTGGCGGGGGAAGCCTGAGGGCAGGTGGGGGACAGCCCCAGCTGTCCTGGGGCAAGTGGGTACTGTTGACTGTCCAACTGCTCAGTCTGGGATATGCCATGAGCAGCTCCCAGCTCCCCCAGCACGCAGAGCCCAGCACTTTACACCTTCCCTCCGAACAGGACATGGCAGCTTCATGGAAACCAGCTGCCTTTCACCCAATAAGTCAGAGGACACCAGCCCAGCCCTTGCCTGGGGGTCTGAACCCAGACGTCTGGGAACGCTGCCTCAAAACTACACCTATACCCAGGGGGGACGAGCGGGCACCCACACCCTCCTGGCTGGCCATGGGCAGCTTGTGTCTGCATCACAGTGCCTAGTGAAGCCTTTCTGTTTGCTCGTGACCACCCCTTCCCACCCACAGGCAGTCACGACCAAGCCCTAACAGGCTGGCAGCACGAAGCAGCCCCACCAGCAAACATGCTCAGCCAGGGCCTGGGGCTGTGGTCCCAGGTCTGCTCCCCCCAGGAGCATGCCTGCATCGTGACTCACCCGTTTGCCCATGAAGCGGTGCGGCCGTGGTGTTGCCTCATCCGGGAAGAGGTGCTCCAGCCGTGGCTCGCGCTCCGCCAGCATGCCATGGCACGAGGTGACTGTGAGCAGGTCCACACGCAACCCATCCAGGGAGCGGCACAGCAGCTCCCGGTGGTAGTAGATGGAGTCCGGGGGGCTGCAGAGACAGACAGGCCCTCAGTGGATATTCCCCTTGGCTGAGCAGGCAGTGAAGGGTGGGACCCCCCTCAGTGAGCCAGGTAGGCCATGGGAAAGGAGGTGCCAGAGGGCTTGGTGCTGGAAGGAAGGCCCTTGTGCCACAGCCTGGGCTGCCCCTACCTGCCCAGGGATGGAAGGCACTGGGCTGCCTAGCTCCAGGGCCCTTCTCTGGCATCCCACTCCCACCCCATGGACTCCACAGTGGGGAACAGCCCTACAGTGCCCTGCTCCCTGCACTCATCTGCAGCACCTGCGACCACTATCAGCAACCAGCCGTGAGAGCAAGGTCCCATGCTCTGGCCTTGTCCGAAAGTTCCTACATCCCCACGCCTGCCCCACACATTGTCCAGGCCCCTTGGCAAAGTTGCTGCCCTCCCACATCCTGAGAGCCCCTAGCAGAGGCCTCCTCTGGCACAGACCCTGGACGCCTACCCTCTCCTTTTCAGCAGAGAGGCTACTTGAGGACACTAGAGCCGGGCGCTGTGTGAGGGCGCAGCGCAGGGTGGTCCCCTTGTGCTCTGAGCCCTCCCAAGCTGGCGTGAGGCAGGGGGAGGTAGACGAGAGGACACAACCACGGGCAGCCCCTGCCTACCACAGCAGGGATTTAAAGGCACAAGCCTGCAGCTGATCTCGAGCCCCACATGGAGCTACTGGGGGCAAATCCTGCCAAACAAACTCGACCTCTTTCTGCAACACCGTGACTAGTTGAGTGGATGAAGAGAATGCTGTGGATATCGTACACCCAGATTTCAGCAAAGCTTCTGACAAAGTCCCACACAAGTTTCTCAGAAAGCTACTATAAGGTGGACAGACAGCTGGTTCAAAAGCCACAAGCAAAGGGAACCATCAATAGGTCTGTGCCAGGATGGCAGGAGGTTTGGAGTGGAATCCCACAGGGGTCTGTCCTGGGCCTGGTGCTGTTCACCGTGTTTATGAACAATTTGGATGCTGGCATTGACAGCTTCAGGACCAAGTTGGAAACCTGGAAGGACTGTGAACGTGCTGGAGAACACGAGCATGCTTCAGAAGGATCTCGACAGATCGTGAAGCTGGGCTGGGCCAAGAGGACGAAGAAGTTTAATAAGGTGCTGCAGCCTGAGAGGAATAATCCGAAATGCAAATACAAAATGGGGGACAGAGGCTGGATGGCAGCTCTATGGAGAAGGCTCTGGGAGTCCTGCTAGGCACTGTACCCTCTTAAGGTGTAGCAGTCCATGAGCACGCTGCTTCGGTCCAGCCTCCCCCTTTCAGCATGCGCTGCTGTGGTCCGCCCCGCAATTGGTTCCCCCACCCCTGCAGGTAGGCGCGTGTGGCTCCCCCGCTGTTGCATGGCATGATTTTTTATTGTGTGTGGCAGTGCACACGCGCAGCCTGGAGGGAACGCTGCTGTTAAGTCAGACTGCAGTGTGATGCAGCTGCACAAGAGACCAGTGAAGTTTGGGCTCCATCAATAGAAGCATCAAGTGCAAGACACGGGAGGCAATTGGACCTCTCGGCATGGGTCAGGCCTCATCTAGAGCAGGGGTCTTCAACCTTTTTGGATCAGTATTCCCTTGGTGGCCGGACGGGTGGCGCACAGCCAAATGCAGAGCTGTGTGCAGAACTCCCCGTGTCTGGCCAGGTGGGCAGCGCCTGTGCAGCAGTGTGGGATGGTGCGTGGTGGCGCCCCGTCCCTGCCTGTCCACGCATACCCCCTCATCTAGTGCACTGGGTGCAGCTTCACATTTCCAAAAGAGACATGGAGAAGTTAGAGGGGGGGCAGACACAGCAACAAAGATGATCAAGGGCTTGGCAGGCAAGTCCTCTGTGGAGAGGCTGAAGGAGCTGGGCATATTCAGCTTGCAGAACAGGTACCTAAGAAGGGCCATGACAGCAGTCTGCAAATCCCCAAAGGGCTGTCAGAGAGAAAGCCCCTGTTCTCTCTTGTTGCAGAGAAGGATGCAGAGCAATGACTGGAAGTGTTAGGAAAAGAGGTTTAGTTTGGAGATTTGGAAACACCTCCTCACTGTCAGAGCAGGGAGACTGCGACAAAACACCAGGGAAGGTGTGGACGCTCCATCCTGGCGGTGTCAAGGAGAGGGTGGACACCCACTGGTGGGGATGATCAAGGCCCAATGATGCCTGTGCTCTGCTGTGGGGATCTCCCAGGCTTCTGGGCTCTGCTAGCTGCCACTGGGGGCCAGGGAGGAACTTTTTCACTTCCCTCAGAGGCACTGGGTGCTGCTGCAGCCCATCCTGGGTATGGGGACTGGGCTGTGCCAGTGCTCCTGCTGGGACCAGCCCCACAGGGTCCTGGCTAAGGGTTTTGCCCCTGTGCTCAGACTCAGACTAACACTGCACTGGAGGCAGCAAGGAATTGGTGCAGACTGGGATTCTGCCTTCCTCTGTAGTGAGGCCACGTGTCCCTCTGGCACCTTGACTGCATTTTCCCGCCCTGGCAGCAGCAGGACACTGCCAGCCCTCGTCCCCTGCCTTCACCAGGTGCAGGTTCAGGGACTCTGGATATTCTCGGGCAACGGGTCTCATCGCTGGCTGACAAGGTTGATTACGTAGTTTAGGACGAGGTCAGACAAAGATGTGCCTGGGACAGTGCGGATGGGGCTGATCCTGCCCCAGGCAGGAGCTGCACTAGCTGCAACCTCTGGAGGGACCCTGCTGGCTTGACTTCTTACGATTCCTCAGACAGGCTGAAGGCAGGCTTCAGGAAGACACGAAGGAGCCTGTGAGCAGGAAAAGGCATGAGGTGGCCGGCCCTGCTGGTGGAAGCAGTCGCGTGCTAAGAGCCCGGTGCAGCAGTGAAGGGAAGGGCCACAGGGCAGAGGGTGGTTCGGCCAGTGCCATCACACCAGAGCTCCCTGGGCAGGCAGGGGTGGACAGCGGTGCTCACTCAGAGGGGAGGCAAAAGGCCCTGCACAGAGATATGGGGAGGATGGAGGCTGGCCCCTGGAGACTGCTCAGGAGAGAGCAGCAAGATGGCAGGCACAGCCCCTGGGAGGCTGAGGCGGGAACCTGCATCCAGCTCCAGCACCTGCACTGGAAAGAGGATGCTGGGAAGGGGTGGCCGGGCAGGAAGGAGCCACACACAGCCGAGGGCTGGAGGGCAGGCCCATGGGCAAGAGGCTCAGAAGCCCAACGGGCCTGGAGATGTGATTGTCACAGCACGGGGATGTCACTGGGGCCTTGAGTGCCAGGCTGGTGCCTCGGGGGAGACGCTCCAGCCCAACTTGTTAGGCTGGACATTAGAAAGAACTTCTTCACAATAAGGGTTTCCAGAATCTGGAATGGGCTTCCAAGGGAGGTGGTGATCGCTCCTACCTTGGGGGTCTTCAAGAGGAGACTGGACAGGCACCTGGCTGGGTCGTCTGACCCCTGCGCCCTTTCCTGCCCAGGGCAGGGGGTCGGACTTCTACTGAGGTCCCTTCTGACCCTAACATCTACCAGGAAGGAGCCACACGCAGCCGAGGGCTGGAGGGCAGGCCCATGGGCAAGAGGCTCAGAAGCCCAACGGGCCTGGAGATGTGATTGTCACAGCACGGGGATGTCACTGGGGCCTTGAGTGCCAGGCTGGTGCCTCGGGGGAGACGCTCCAGCCCAACTTGTTAGGCTGGACATTAGAAAGAACTTCTTCACAATAAGGGTTTCCAGAATCTGGAATGGGCTTCCAAGGGAGGTGGTGATCGCTCCTACCTTGGGGGTCTTCAAGAGGAGACTGGACAGGCACCTGGCTGGGTCGTCTGACCCCTGCGCCCTTTCCTGCCCAGGGCAGGGGGTCGGACTTCTACTGAGGTCCCTTCTGACCCTAACATCTACAAACGCAAGCGGCGCGGCCCCAGACAGGTAAGCAGCTGGCATCCACAGGCACGCACCACACTGGCAGCTAGGTCAGAGCTAGCAGTTCCCCCCTGGGTAGGCAGGAGCTGGCCCCCACCCCAGGCCAGCATGAGTGCCTGGAGCCCAAGCTGTGCCCCCTCCCCCTCCCCCTGGGGCGGAACCAGGAAAGATGTGCACTTCCCTGCGAGGGGAAGGAGGGCCTGCCAGAAAGGAACCAGGGGGCCAGGCTGCCCCCACCGACTTCCAGAGCCTGTGCTGCAGGGAGCGGGCAATTCAGGGGAGAGGGCACTTCGGAGCAGTCTCAGCTACTGCACTCGGTTGGCATGGGGGAAGCTGCAAGCACCAGGGAGAGCCTGGGAGGGAGCCAGGAGCTCCAGCCCTGGGCAGCAAGCCTGGAGCCCCACACAGCCCTGGAAGTGCCCAGGGCCAGCTGTGGTGGGCAAGTGAACTGGGGCTATAGGAGCAGTGGTTAGGGCAGCAGCACAGAGGCGAGGGCAGAGCCGACTGCGGCTGGGGAGCTGGGGTGGAGAGCCCAACCCCTGGCAGGCCAGGCCTGGGGGACCTGGTGCCCTGGGCACACCCCTGCTCCTGCTCCAGATGCACTGGAGCCCAGCGTGGTGAGCTGGGCACAGGTGGTTGCCAAGGGGATGCCAAGCACCAGGAGCAGGCAAACACAGTGGCTGTTGCCAGGGAGCCAAGGAAACAAACCTTGGCAAGAGCAGCCTGGGCCTGTGCATGGACCATGTCTCCCCCGCTCCCCCTGGCAAAGTACTTGGCCCACGTGCCGGCCAGGTCCAGCATGGGGCAGGATGCGGCCAGGGCTCGCCCCTGCCTGCCAGACACCTGGTGCTGCCTCTGGCCCCAGGGCTACAGCATGCTAGCAGCCCAACAGATCCCAGGAGGTCCCGAGCCCTCCCCCACCTACCTCCAACCCAGAGAAAAGGGCTAAGAGGCCAGAATGACACCCCCAGAGGTCCTGGCATCTGGGGTGGGCCCGGAGGGCGGATGCAGCCACACTGCAGGAAGATGCAGGGCCTGTGTGGGGTCAGCGAGCTGCCCCAGGTACAAGGCAGAGCAGCTCTGCAGAGACGTTGGCCCAGGCCCTGCTCCTGCCCCCGCCCCTAGAGCAGGAAGCTCAGTGTAGGAGAAGGGGGGCAGTCCTAGCCAGAGACCTCCCCTGAGAAACAGCTGGGCTGGGGGAGGCCGGGGAGGAAGTGGTTCTGCAGCCAAGCAGCTGCAGAGGAACAGGGCCTTTGCTTGGACGGGCTCTCCCTGCCAGGCCCACCCCCGCGAGCCTCCAGCACCAGCTGCTGCAGGTCCCCAAAGCCAGAGACAAGCTGGACTTGAGCTCGGGAGTGCTCCACCTGCGGCAGTCCCAACCCCGGCCCGACGGGCAGCACAGCGAGCGACCCCCCAGCCCTCCTGGCGGGGCTGTGGCACGAGGGAGCACACCTGATGGGGGAGAGGTAGCGGCACGGCTCCAGGCGGCTGTCCAGGTGCGCCAGCATGTCCTGGCACTCGGTGTACGAGAAGGGGTAGCAGAAGGCGAAGTAGGTGGTGGCGCCACGGGGCTCCAGGAAGCGGTGCACGAAGGACAGCACGAACTGGGCCTCCGCCATCTGCAGACACACAGAGCGGGGCTGAGCAGGAGGCCCTGGGCACCTTGGCCGTGGTCACGCACAGGCTGCCTGACCAGGGAGCTGGGAGCCATGGCACTTGCTCTTTCCTATGGCTGGCTGCCAGGACAGAGCCTGGCCATGCCCCTTCACCCGCCGCGCTGCCCTGCAACACATCTCACGCCCTCCGCTAAGGCTCGGGGCCTGCCCGAGTCCACGCAGCGCAGCAGTGACCGGTGGGCTCCCGGCCCCCTCTCCCCGCTGCGACCGTGCGAACCGCGGCGGTGGCGCTGCCC